CCTGCACTTGCTGTCGCAAGGCCCGGTCAACATGACGGTCCTCCTCAGCATTAAGGACCACGTTCAGGACGCGGTCAAGCACGGACTCAAGAATGTCAACGGCAGCAAGGAGGTCGTCCAGCACATCCAGGCCATCATTCAGAACAAGGGCATCTCGCTTAACGATAGCGTGAGCGTGGTCAACGACATCCAGTCGGCGCTCCAGCAGGTGCTCGGGTCGCTCGACCCGGCGCCGCGCGTCTGCTTGCGCGAAGGTGTCGGCCGTGGCGTTGGTTCGTTCGTGTTCAACCAGTGCCAGGAAGGCGAGGAGGCCTACGGTGCGCTCTGCTACCCGAAATGCAAGGACGGCTACGAGAAGGTCGGCTGCTGCATCTGCCGCAAGAAGGGCTGTAGCGGCGCGGAAGGCGTCACCGACATTGGTATGTCGTGCACCAAGCCCAAGGCGTACGGTCGCGGCTCGGGCTACGCGCTCTGGAACGAAGACAAATGTTCGGCCGAGAACCCGCAGGGCTGCGAGAAGAACGGCCTCATGTGGTACCCCAAGTGTCAAAAGGGCTATCATGCGTTCGGCTGCTGCATCTGCACCCCGGACTGCCCCGCGGGCACCCACGACGACGGTGCGTTCTGCCGCAAGGACCACTACGGTCGCGGTGCTGGCGCCTCGCGTCTTGGTTGCCAAGCGGGTCAAGAAAAGAGCGGCTTGATGTGCTACCCGCCGTGCGCCGACAAGTACAAGGGCAAGGGCCCCATGTGCTGGCCAAAGTGCGGTGGCGCGACGCCGTTTGGCTGTGGTCTCTTTTGCACGTCGTCGGCGGCCACGTGCGCGTCGAGCGCTGTCGACATCATTGGCGGTATTGCCAAGATCGCACTCAGCGCTGTCAACAAGGACTCGCAGGGCGCGATCTCGAACGGCGTCCAGACAGGCTCCAAGATCGTCGTCATGGAGCACTGCAAGCTCGACCAGATGCAGTAACTGACTGCAAAAATGTGCAAATCGAGCGGTTTTGAAGTAAAAGTATGCTGCGTATGCGTACTGCAATGTAGTCTGACTTATGACAACAGGTACATAGTAACATAATCGGACTATTTCGTACTCGATGAACACCTTTGACTTGGCAAGCTCAAATGGCTCGCGAAAGATCGCTACTCGCACATCAAGACGGTCGTCGCTCAAGATTACACGCACGTAGACAGTTTCCAAGCCCTTGGACACACGGTCGCCGACCTCGAAGAAAACATCTACCAGGACTATTTCCAGCGCTGTAGCAAACCCGCCGTTGGATCCGGCTGCTCGCGACCGCTCTCGTTGGATGCTTCCAGCTCATCTCGCCTGCCGATCATGACGTGCGCTCAACCAGTGCCTCGACATGGCTCGTCAAGTTCGGACCCCGCGTTGTTCTCGCGGCGACTATGAACGTCTGGCTGACCGGCTCCTGACAGCGACCGAAATTTGACGGGCGTGTGCTCCCAGTGCAACACCTTAGCGTCCCAGCGACCTTCTACGAGCACCCGGGCCGAGCGGCCTCATTTGTACCTCTACGGCAACCACCTTACGTCCTTTCACGCTACGGTGACTTCGTGTACCGGGTCGCGCTGAAAGTCGTGGCCGTCCGAGCCAGCTTGCACTTTCTCGGCCACGATGCTCGACACTGCCTTCTCTGCGATGCGCAAGCCGGTGAAACGTACGATCATCTTTTGGTGCGATGCCCATACGTCCGAGCGATCTGGTGCGCCTTTGCACCGATGCGGGGCATTTTGCAGATGCAACTCTCGTCGTCGGTCGCTGGCTTTCTCTACGACGACGTCGCCGCGCCGTACTCGGCCCACAAGTCGTCCATTCGTGCCCTCTGGCCGATCTTACGCGCTTGCGTCTGGTATTGTCTTTGGCTCGAACGCAAAAACAACCGAGTCTTCCGATCGACGCTGACGCAACTTCCCGCTGCCGCGCTCGCCATCCGGCAGCTTCTATCGCACGATTGCACGTCCGGCACTTAGCTCGTCGCGCCGTGGTGCCATCTCTTGACGCGTCGGTGGTTGCTCTCCGTGACAACCCTTGGTGTGCACGATACCTGGTCCCCTCGCGCAATCTCGAATCACGACCACTAACGCTTCTCGCTGACGCACCGGCCAAGCCTCACGAGCGCATTAGGAAGTCCACCATATCTTTATAATTGCGTGTAACATAACTCAGGTCAACAACAACAACTCTCATCGAGGCCCTGTGCCAAGCCCGACAGCCCGACTCCCAAACCGCCATGGCTGGTTCGACTCCACAAAGTTACCAAGCCGTTGACCCAGACGACGCCCGCCGACGTCGTACCCCGCCAAGGACGCGCTTGCAACTACCGACTCGCCACCTGGGCGTCGAGGGAGACTTCTACGAGGCGCCTGCCGCCGTAGCCGCCGCAGCTGAGCTCCGGCTACCCGACGCTATCTTACCAAAGTACGCCGACTTCGTCTACCAAGTGATGCTCCGCGCGGTCAAGTTCCGCGCACATTTGCACTGGCTCGACAGGGCCGACCAAGCGTGCCTCTTCTGCCCCGCGCACGAGACGTACCGCCACTACCTCGTAGACTGCGACTTCATCAAGGACGTGTGGAGCACGCTTCACGCCGTCACGGTCCCTTTGG